CAGCCAAAGAACAATGTGTTGTGTTTTTCTGTTAATGGTTTTTCTCACTCTCTCTGAGTTATCTACGAGGAAGTTATATTGTATGTAAGTCCCAGAAATGAAAAGTACGCCCTTGTGTAAATGGTAAGCATCAACAGGTTTGAGCACTAAAATACAGTTTTTTAATTGAGAGGGGCTGTACAATTTAAATGATCACATTTCCTGAGGAGTGGAACGACGCCTTACAAATCATATTAAATACTAGACGTAAACTTCGCTGCAGCAGTGACACAGCTTCCGAAGCTTCCAAGTACTGCCAGTGTGATAAATCAGTCCTGTAGCAATGTGTGGTATCTAAAGGAAGTCAGTGGAACAGAGGATGAGCTTTATCATGTTGGTCATAAAGACTTCCTGTGTCATTTCTGTCATATCAACTACAAGTTAGCAGGTTTGAGAAAGTTAACCAAAGTATACGAGCTGAAATGTGTTGAGTAATCCATTACTTGATGGACAGGAAATGAATTGACAACAATTTAGATGACTAATTAATTCCCGTTAATCAAGTGAAAAGAGCCCACAGTCATGCTAGGAGGTAAGGCTGCACTTAGACACAGTGCTAAATGCTAATGCATGCACGCTAACAGGCTCACAATACAAATGCTAACATGTTCAGCAGGTATATTGTTTACTAAGTTTGCCATCTTAGTTTAGCGTGTTAGCATGCTAACATGCTAATTAGCACTTAACAAAGGACAGCTGGCTCCTTTAGCAGGTATTTGATCAAACAAATTAAAATTTTAATCTGACGATGGTGGAAGACGGAAACGCAAGTTATCACAATTCACCCTGAGGGGAACATGAATGTTTCATGGCATGTCAACCTCATGGTGGCACTAGAGGAAAAGTCAGAGAACCTCCAAAGTCAGGAGGAGTCATCCTCTACTGACCACAGGTGTCTGTCAAAACATTTAATGGCAATCCATCCAGGCGTGATATTTCAACCTGACACCAACACACCTAAAAATGCCAAACATTCCCTGATTTCAGCTTCTCAATTATGAGAATATGTTGTTTTTGATGTTTTAGATCATTGTAAATTTTTGGACTGACAAAAATATCATTCTGAATACATCTAAGATTAGGGTTAAGCTAAACAATTGAGCAAATAATCAAAATATGATCAGAAAATGAATAAAGGGATTCAGATCAGCATTCAAGAACTGAACTGAATGTACGCTTGCTGTCACTTGGGCTTTAACCCAGGTCTTGGAGTTGAAGCATGTTCTCTTTAAAGGCTGACACTTTGGGCATAAAGTTCCCGTAGAACAGACAGCTCCTGTAACCTTCCACCGTTATACTGTAAATTCAAGCCATGTCCAACAGGTATGGGGAAGGCCAGCTGCAAAACTGATGCTCTCTCTCAAAAACTCACCTCATGTGTGGATACAGGTGTTTAGATGTGTCAAAGAGCTGGAGGCAATAAACAGTATGAGATAGATGGTCTGCCTTATTCTCAGCCCACCAAGGACTATAAACTTTTAAAGCTCAGAAATGTTAAAAATGTCCAGAAACAGTTTCCACTGACATGTACAGAGTGCCAAAATGACTGCTTGTTTAAACACAGTGGTATGTACTTTTATCCAGAAACGTCCTGGAAAGGAGAACGCTTGGTTAATCAATCACAAATGTACAGGTGTGTCCACAACCAGAGACGCACATTAAAATGATTATAAATTCCATTTAAAGTCTATTTTTTAATTTGTGAGTGACCGAAGAACCAGTGTTATTAAAATGGTTACCACTTTCAGCAGTATAAAAAGGAGCAACTTGCAGCTTTTCACTTGGCAAACGTGACGAGCAAAGTGAGGACATGTCCATCAGCAAGCTGCAAGCAACACATCTCTGACTGCAGCATGTTGTGCTCAACGAAAGGAACTAAAAGGGGTCACAAATAACAAATCTGAAATAACAAAAAACACACATTGGAGGCTAGCCAGCACAAAGAAACATGCGGTTTTCCCCCAGACCTTCAAAACATGTATTCTGAGAATTTCAGGAGCTGGGAAAAATGAAAACAAATGCTTCATCATTTTGGAGCAGAGAATGAAAAACTAGTGGAGTGAGAGTGTGTTCATGTCCTTCAACTCTGCTTTCCCGGACCTCCTTCCTCATTTACTGTGGAACATGGTAGTTTCCTTCTCAAAACACACTTGACAGGCAACAAAGGATCAGTGGAATCCAATAGGTTGAACTCAGCACCTCAGCTTATTCCTGACTTTAAGTGCCAGCAACCCACTAGAGTCTGACCGCTGTATCAGTGGGGCTGATGGTATAGCCAATTTCAGCTTATCAGACAAAGAGCATAGTGTTGTATTTGTGTTGGCTGATATATAACAATAAACTGCAGTATGGACTTGCCAAAAGAGTAGCAAAAAATAAAGAATAAATAAATAAATAATAGTTACTGGTGACAGTAAATATCAAAAAGTTTTCATATTCAACTCTAGGCTTGCACACACCATGCACAGCGTTATGTAATGTCTATTATAATTAAGTATAGTATTAATGCTACTGATACTGAACAATTAATTGGATTTGCGATATTATCGCAATGGGCTGCAATTACACATGCAATTACAATCACATGACACGCCAGAGTAAGCAGTCTGCAGAAGCATCAACTTCTCACGCTGTACCTTCACTTATAATCTAAAGTTTTACCTTTTCTTAACGCTCTGACAGCAGTGCAGTGGAAAAGGGTGCAGACATCCTGCCACTGTGTTTTCCATAAAGAGGTGAAGTTTGGGCATGAAGATATGTGAAAGAGTCGAGGGGATAGAAATCACAGGTAGGGTCTTCATACATTATGTAGGAAGGATTTGGGGAAATTGAGCGTGAAATCTCTCTTCTCTCAGCTTCCAGGGCGATCTAATATGCTTCCCCTCTGGCTCGTTCCCGTCATCACACAGGAGGTGAAATCTTCCTGACAAGATTTAAAGTATTTTTCACATCCAGTTGTGAGCATACACATGTGTTCACATACACAGGTCTGACCATTTGGTTGCAGTTGCCAGGTTAAATATGTGCCACATATTAGTCTTATCTCGAGACAGAGATTTATAACTGTAGTGTGTGCTTGGGATAACTGTCCCAGCTAAGAGTTATCATCAGGAGTTTAGATTCCTAACTTGTAAGATCATACTGTATATAAAGGACAGTAGGTACAAAGAAGCTTTATCTGGCTTTTAAAATAAATAATAATAATAAAACTGTATCAGACGGTCTTGCAGGCCCGACTGAGTGCAGATAACGATCAAGCTGGACCCTGTCGTGGTCACTCCCTTGTTTTTCATCTCAGGCTTGTTAGCAAATTACTTCCTGCCAAAGCTATGACATTTTTAGTTGAAATGTTTAGAAAAGGAAATGCTGCTGTGATTTTTGGAGATGGAAAGTTTCAGTTTATCTCTCTCTCTCTATATATATATATATAGACACTGGGAGTATATTCTGGGCTCCTTGAACATCTCCTCCCACAAATTTAACTTGTGACTTCCTGAACTTGCATGATAAAAGTATGCAGCCTTCTCTTTGGTACCTCACACATCTGTTCTTCAAAACAGCAAGAAAAAATAGAGTGGGTTACTACTGTAAGTAGCTGTGTGTTAAATCATGTCAAGAATCAAGAAAATTCATATCTACAAAAAAAATAAAATGTTGTTGCTGATGATGAAGACGATGATGATCGAAAGAATCGGTTGGCACGAATGAGGCTCATTGTGTCAAATAGAAATATAATATAATAATATATCATATCGAACATATTGATTTTCAGAATTCAGCAGTGACGGCAACAATATACCCCTCACCCTGAATAATCCCCAGAGCTCACAGGGAACAGTTTTCATTGCAACTAGTCCATATGAAAACTGACAGCATCTTCTGAACATTATTCACAGTAACGGGGGGCACACTTGACTTCACTTTTTAATGGTGGAAATATTGTTTTTCGGATACACCTGGGTAAATAAAAAAATATTATGCATGCCGAGATAGCACCATAGGTAAGTGAGAAAATATGTTTGTTTTTTGTCACTTTGGTGAACCCGTTCATTAAACCTTCCAAATAACCTTAAATAACCTTCCAAACCGGCACTTTCAGTTGTGACAAGTGAGAAAGCTGGCATGGGGTTGGGCCATTTTGTTTGATAACTTTGCCCTAGGGGCCTGTCCTGCATGGCTGGCCAAAGCCCCCACCTCATACTTAGCACGGCCCATCTGCCCTGCACTCCTGGCATTTCCTGTGAGTAAAAGAGGGACTGGGCAAAGCTGGCAAGTAGCACCCATTTCAGTAATGGATACCAGATGAAGGGTGTGTATATACGTACATAGGTGAACATATGTACTGTGTGTGTGTGTGTGTGTGTGCAAATCCTCCTTAAACCTCACATGGCTGTTGTACCTTTACACACACACAACATTCCCTCTTTTAACAACCCTGCAGGAGCTTCAGCTTCATCCGTTTTCCCTCCCATTTTCTTCTACGTGCTCTTTGCCTTTCCAAAACAAGATATATCAAGCGACGGCTTCATCCAGAGGTCTTTTATTTTTAGACGCAGGGCGATCTCCAAGACCCAAGAGTTTATCCAATATAAACACATTCTGGTACAAAGAGCACTTGTTTAGACATTCTTAAGATTTTTTTTTGCAGAACATAAACTCCCCAGACTCCACCTACCCCAGCATCTGCATGTACATACACTAACTCACACACACATACACGTACAGAAGAGTAGCTGACTCCACCTAAAACATGATATTTCCTTCTGATAAGCTCACATGGATTTTAAAGGGCAAGTTAAGATTGTGTAGGAGCCTTTCTCCTGTTCTCTGGAAAGCAACACACATCTGATACATAAAACCATGAGAAAATCTGCATGTACCTTTCAAACATACCTTTTTTTTAACCCTTATTGTGTCTTTGGGTGTGATTTTATTTTTATTTATTAATCAAAATGGCTTACCTTGACTTCACACTTCTTGTGGCAAGCTATTCGGCACACTAGAGAAGACAGAAGAAAAAAGAAAATGAAATTAACGCCACAGTTCAGAAGAAATCTCCTAAACATAGTGGGGAAATCCAACCACTGTGGTCCAGGATGAATCATGACATTGAGTAGTTGTCAAAGGGGTATGAAAAAGCAAGAGGTTTATTCAAATTCCACAGAGTGTTTGTTCCGTGGTGAAAGTCAAATATCATCTGCTGTTAGCAACAGCAATTCTGCCCAACGTCTGGACACTGGCTCCCTATTAACTTCTTAATTCATTATTCTGAAAGACTGATGTTCTTTCTGATTCTGATCAGAGTGCCTTTGCATCCAACATCCAACATAAAACAGTAAAGTCAATGATAACATGTCTGTCTCTCTGCCTAAACTGCTCTAATGCACGACAAGCTTCAATATCTTTTATTCACCACACCAGAACAGAGCTTTACAGACAGCTGCACAGATGTTCCACACAGATTCTTATCAAGACAATACAGACAAAACTCAACTGTACATAATAAAGAAACCATAACTTCCCTTTCACTTGTAACACGCCACATTGTTTTCCAGACTAAACAACTTTCAATCGAGTGAATAATTTAAGATATTTTGCCTTTCTCTCTTGTGCACACATACGATGGTGGACTATTGTACTGTATGTGTGTCATATGTTGACAATCTTTAACATTAGCTAGATAGAACTAAACTAATGTCTTCAGTTTTGCATGTATACAGTCTTAAACCAATATTTTGGACAAAGATACATTTTCGACCTGATGAGGACAAATCACGGGATCGCGGTTCCACCATGTGTTAGAGCAGCATCTATTGTCCTGTAGAAATTATCAGTAATCAACTATGGTAATAACCTAAATAATGGTGGACATTCACAGTACATTTACTGCAACAATACATTCAATGCATTTGAAAATATTTCTATTTATTGTATAGTTTAGTAATACACCATAGTATAGTACAATTTTCCTATTTTCTTATTGAATTGTTGAAATTTTATTTATCCACCACATGATTACACACTCTTTTAATGACGAAATGTGCTTAAATTATAAAACACAGAATTCTTAAAAATTAAAATAGAAAACATGTAATTTGGGGGAAAGAATTAACAGAATCTGGAAAAAATTAAAACGGATTTCATAGGGCCTTAGATCAAGGTTATTACTATTCACAGTGTGGGAAATATAAATGGCAAAATTTCAACCTAAATTCAAACCAAATGTCATGGCAATTCATCAATAGTTGTTATGACATTTCACTCAAAACCAAGAAGATGTCAAAAATACTAAAAAAAAAGAAGGAATGTGTGTAAATTAGTATGTCGAAACCAAATTTGCTGGTATTTGACTGGAAAGTTTTAAACTCTGGCCTGCTAGTGGTGACAGATGGACTGTCAAGGGATCAACAAAAGGAGTCAGGTGCACCTTGCAGGATTTAAATTTTTGACAATAGATTTTTGGACACTTGGGGGAAGTGGAAATAAGATGTAAATACTTCACTGATGCTGAACAGATCAAGCTAACAGCTTCCTGTTTACACGTCCAGCAAATAGGCTACACGGCAACATTAGCATTTATTTGGAGTCAACTGGCCAAGTGGCAAATTTAAGTCCAATAGTCGCTCAACTTCTGGGAAAACTTTCTGGCTCTTTTGCTGCTGAATGGTCCACTATGTTCACAAGCTAGTTGCTAACATTGTCTGTCTGCCGTTTGGTGCTGGCATGCTTGCTTTGGCAGGAAACAACGCTGATGAGAGAAATGAACCAAAACAGTACAATTATTCCTGAAAGACGATATGTAGCTCTGTGAAACTGAAGGGAACTGCAAATCAGGTAGAAATTGTCTGTGGGTTCGTCACTACAACTGACCCTTTTCACATACAAGTAGTTATGTGATCAGTTATTTATGGAAAAATATTGTTTATATGTTTATATATACACAGTATCTCACAAAAGTGAGTACACCCCTCACATTTTTGTAAATATTTGATTATATCTTTTCATGTGACAACATTAAAGAAATGACACTTTGCTCCAGTGTAAAGTAGTGAGTGTGCAGCTTGTATAACAGTGTAAATTTGCTGTCCCCTCAAAATAACACATCACACAGCCGTTAATGTCTAAACCGCTGGCAACAAAAGTGAGGACACCCCTAAGAGAAAATGTCCAAATTGGGCCCAATTAGCCATTTTCCCTTCCTGGTGTCATGTGACCCGTTAGTGTTACAAGGTCACAGATACTGTATACTTAAAGAAAATGGAATAAAAAAAAGTCATGGACAGGTTATGTAGGAGTCAGTCAGTCATGAGCTGAAAAGTATTCATTAAAAAAATAGCACAAAATCACACAATATTACAGACAGTGTTCTGCTATTGAATTTCAACAAATGTTTTGCAGCTTCCCTTTTACCCCCAAGTCCTCTCTCTGGACTCCCACTGGGTCTACAAATAAGGGTTAATAGGGGAGAGCACCTGGACCAGCGGCTCATAAATTGTCAGATCCCCTCGAAGGACAGCGAATCAAAACACAGCTCAGTGTGCCGAGCGTTAGCCTTCCAAATAAAGAAGACTGTATGCTTTTACTGGAACCCACTAGGCTTTATGTAATGAGTTTTTCTTCCTTTCTCCAGACACATTTTTCAAAGCAAGTGTAACATCTATTGTGATTTTAAGTCATTGATATGAATTTGGGAGGGGGCCAGTCCTCACGTTGTGCAAGTAGAGATTATGTCTGTGTTATGTCATCAGTCGTATGCTTCTTAAACACTTTGTTCTCTCTTATGTATATCCCTTTCTTACAGCTAACGTCTGTACAGTTGATGTATTGGCTGTTTTTGGCAAATGTCCCAGCAGTCAAATTTGTGCAAATAATGTTCCCTCGGTGCATTCATCAGGCTGATATCTGAATTAATATTTTTGCAACATAAACGAAATGTTGGCACTTTATTTTGTATTACTTCGACTGATTGTTTCAATAACAAGGAGTGCACAACCTGGACCAGAACTTTGAGGCTCACCAGCTACCAGTAGTGCCAACAAGACAAATCCATAAACACAAACTGTTTACAATCATGTTTAAGAGTTTCATCAGTTAGCCTTAAATGTTGAATGCAAGCCTTTCAAGGCTCCCAGACATCAGGTCTTTATTAAATCATTATTAAATCATTTAAAGTTTGTCAAAGACTTGGTTTGTATTTGTTCTTCACTTTTTAAAGTTATATTTATGGTCTTGTCCTTTTAATATTGTTAACTAATCGTTAAGTTAAGCAACTTTATAGCTTCTTATAAACCTAAATAGCCCTTAGCCTGGTTCAAGGTCAAAGGTTAAGTGTTGGGAGCAGCTAGGGGTCAACTAACAGCTACAAGGCCTCGAGTCTTATCCATAAGATATTTATCTTTCTTCTCCTTTTTTCACAGACACCAGCATCGTTCACTCATTTTGAGGAGACTCGTATTTAACCAGCAGCCATGCTTCGCTTGACTGACACGTCATTAGGAAAACTCTTCGTTATGGTCATTGTGCGATACACATGAAAATTAAACATTTTTATTAACTTCTACTTCAATAAACTAGTGGACAAGTAGTGTATACATAGTGAAACTAGGAACATTTAGAGGCTTCCTTTTTACAACCACATGTGTAATTACATCATGGTGCAGTTAGTTTCTATTTAAGCACACACGGGACTATATTTGCACTTGGGGGGGGTAATATTTGAGTCAGTTTGACTTCCTAATTAAAGGCCTTCAAATGTGGGTGGCACCACAAAATCCTACCGGGATACACATTTCTAGTCTTCCAAAAGTACTTGAGTTACCAGGTTCGATCAGAATGGAGTTTTTCTATATAACATGACCCGCATAGTCTATCACAAGATACAGACACCAGACTTTGACAAATATAATAAAACATTATACTCCGTTTGGAACAACATAGTGTGAATGAGCATTTTCACATTTCTGATTATTTATCCAGAGGCGCCAAAGCATTTTCTCAACCCACAGAGGGGCGTTTAACCTTTCGATGAGGGCCGCAACTTTTATTTCCACCTTCATTTTCTATATTTTGTCCTTCATTTTTTAGGATTCAACGAATAGCTGATTGATTATTTAGCCTATAAAATGTCACAAAATGAAAAATGGCCATCACAATTTCCAAGAGCTTATGGTGACATCCTCAAACTGGGTTTTTGGAAAATTAAATTTCTTAAAATTGAGTACCGGCAGGATGCGAATTATACAATGACAACTTTTTCCAGGTCATAAAGGAAACCCAGTACAGCGCAGGTACGTGCAACAGTGAACTAAAATCTTACAATGTTTACAATATACTCGCTTATTTAACAAATGTCATCAGTCTGTAGATGATAAATCAAATTCATTACATCAGTTCACGGGTTCCCCACACCAGACAGCAGCTTTTGTAGTCAGAGGTCAGCAAGTATTCTAGAGCACTATCATAAAATACAGCCTGCATTATCCTCTCTAATTCCTAATTCTTATAACTTCAAGTTTTAAGTTTCAACTTACTCTTTTTTTAGCAAATACCTCATTTCCTCTTGCTCATGTTGACTGTGAATGCAGTGTAATCTGGGTTCAATAAAGCAGTAGTCAGACATTGTTGGGGAATTGGGAATTGTTGGATCTCTTCCCAGCTCTATATAAAAAGGGGAATGACATCACGCTACATAAATAAAACTGAAACTGAATAGATTTGAAACAACCAACCTGGATTAAACATTTACCTAGCCAGGTAAAACTCCTGAATTCCAGAGTTAAAATAAATAACTGCTGTAAAAAGGCTCACAAAATACTTAAAATGAAATAATGAACTCTATATTTATGTGAAAATGTTTCACTGCAATAACTAATCCACTATTTCACTGCTCAGGCCTAAGCACCAGTGTCAGCTGACAATTAGATAAAATATGGATATGGTGGTAATGAAATGACAGGGTGGGCTATCAGCTGGCTCACATCACAAAAGTCATTTTAAGTA